TTCAGAGTGCCATGGACACTATTCTTGGCGACCTGAAACTGTCATGCATCCTAGTATACCTCGATGATATTAATGTTTTCTCTCGGACCTTTTTGGAGCACCTAGACTACCTTGAAGCAGTATTCCGCCAGTTGGCTGAGGCAAATATTAAAATTAAACCTCAAAAGTGTAACTTTTTCAAATATCAGCTAGAATACCTGGGTTTTGTGGTAGATGCAACTGGGCTGCAGCCCCAACTGGCTAAGGTGGAGGCAATTAGCAAAATGGCTACGCCTAATAGTAAGCGCGACATACAGGTATTTCTGGGGATGGTTGGCTACTACTGACGCTTTATCCCTAAATTTAGCTATATTGGAGGCCCACTATTTGAGTTGTAAAAAAGGACGCCGTGTTTGAGTGGACTGAACGTCATCAATCTGCTTTTGATACACTCTGTACGGCGTTGAGCAGCATACTGGTGTTGCAATATCCAAACTTTGATCAGGAGTTTATCGTTCAGATGAATGCATCCCTTTCCGCTGTTGGGCAGTAATTTAACAGGAAGATGATGAAGGAGAAGAACATCTGGTTGCGTTCTGTAGTTGTAGTCTAAATTTTCATGAGTGTAACTATACTGTGACTGAGCAAGAGTGCTTAGCAGGAATCTACACATATAAACAATTCAGAGTCTATCTGCATGGGGTAAAGTTTAAAGTCATAACTGATCACGTGTCATTACGCTGGTTGCAAAATCTCAAAGAACCAGAAGGACGGTTGGCCCAATGGGCTCTCAAGTTACAGGCTTATGATTTTGAGATTCTCCATCAGCCAGGAGCAAAGCACCAGAATGCTGATTGTTTATCCTGGTTACCAACTATTGCAGTGACAGTGGACCTTAGCGACATGATATATGATAAGATGCTCAGCAGAAACTATGACAACGAACTTCCCCAAGTAATTAAAGTGTTAAATGAATTGTGCATGAATACCTTCCAATGGAATGGGGAACTGTACAAGCGAATTGGAAATACTACGGTGAATTTCCTGCAGCCCTCCACATGACCAGAAATCATTATGAGTGCTCACAGGGCAGTTGGGTATGGTGGCATGCATAAGGCTATGGAGTTTCCACGCCCACGATACTATTGGGAAAGTATGAGTTTCAATGTGCTCAAAACTATTTCCTGTTGCCATCAGTGCCAGATGGAGAAACTGTTCCGCCATATGACGTCATATTGGTTAGTGAAACCACATTTTGCTTGGCATATGGTCTCCCTCGATGTTGTTGGCCCCTTGCCAACAGGAGCCAACTGTTGTAAGTACGTTATAGTGGCTATTGACCACTTGACCAGGTGGGTTGAAACAAGGGTGATATGAGATCTGGGGGCAGTGACAGTGGCTAAATTCATGTTGGAATGCATTATTCAGTGGACCGGTTGACCTCAGTTTATTCTCACTGATAATGGCACCAACTTCACCTTGCACATTTTTCCTAAGCTGAATGAGCTCATGGGAATCCGCGGAGTTCTGATGACCCATATCACCACAAGTCCAATGGAATGGTCGAATGAGTGAATGGGACTCTGGTGAACATACTTTGAAAATTAGTAATGGATCGCCCTTCTGATTGGAGCTCTCTTCTTTCCACTGCCATGTTCACTTATAACATTAGTTACCATTCCACCACGGGGAAGAGCCCCTTACAATTACTATATGGCTGACAACTGGCTCTTCTGGCGCTGCTTTATGCATGTGTAGAAGACACAGGTGGACTAGAACCCCACCACTATTTGACTAATCTTGCGAACATTCTGGATAAACTGCAAACTGAAGCATATTTCTTAAGTTTAGCCAAGAAGATCAGGAATCAGGCCACCAATCAGGTACATCATAGAGGGCTGGTGCCATTCAAGGAAGGCAATGTGGTTCTCTTTCACAAACAGCATGGATTTGGGCAGAAGCATAAGCTGGCTAGTATCTGGATTGGCCCATTTGAAATAATAGAGAAGACTGGAGTTGACACATATACTATTAATGATCCTAAAATTGGTCAGATCATTAACTGAGTACACACAAAGTTCCTCAGACCTTACAAACAATAGGATCTTATTGTCAAGGAGGGGGTATTGTCATTATTTTGATATGACTGGACGATAATCTTGGGACAGCCAGGTGGAATCTGCCAACATAGTATCAGTTACAAATATTCGAGTGCCTTGAGATGAGGCAATATTGGGATAATAATGAGTCTTATTGGATATAATGAGTTTATTGGATCGCCTCTATATAAGGCAATAAGGCGATGTTGATATTAGATGAATATTAAGTAAATCGCCTACAAATAGGGTGACAGCGGATTAAGAATAACAAGCCAAATTTGAGGAAAATTGGCGGAATAGAATAACCCAAGCAAAGAGAAATAGTATTGCCTGAAGCTGATGTATATAAGTGAAATGAGCGATTAAGAGAGGTAGGGTTTTTTAGTGCAAGATGAGCGGGACAGCAAAACGTAGCTGTATTTATAAAATAAATAAAAGAACTGGTCAGGGCAAAAGCTCCTATATTTAAGATATTTTCAAGTGCATCCAAAGGACCAACAATCTTCACATCATCTGTCCATTGTTCAGAGGGCTCAACTTGTGTGAATAGCCCAGCGGATCCTAGCAATACCACCCAAAATTACAACATCACTACATTCCTAAGGTCATTGTATTACTAAAGCATGTCTAGTTACTTTTTGTGATACAAGTTTATTAAAATTATAGTCTTGGATTTGGCTATGTGATGACACAAAATCCCTGCTTAATGTTTATTTGGATGAAATAAAAAATCTACAAGTTAGTGGTTTATAAAGTATGTCATATTATAAATCAAATAAGGTATATAATATAAGATTTCACAAAGTTAATCATATATGAAATTAGCGTGATTTTATACTAATGGTTAAGATCTAATAATCTCTAAAGGGTAATTATTGATACTTGCTGTTAAAATTATCATTACTAGTTACAGGGGAGATCTAAATAGGTATTTGTCACTAATATAAAATGATCTGAGATGATATCATAATTTTCTTTGCGGGAGGCATTTTCCTGTCCTTTTCCACAATAGTGAGCTCAGGTTTCTTAGAATAACTGTCAAAGAAGATTAAGAGTAATCCAAGGATGAAGGATCAGATGTGCAAAAAAATTCACCTGACCAATTATAATGTAATTTGGTGAAGCCACTACTGAACTTAACTGGTCTTACACTACAAATCTTAGTAGTACTGTAAAATCAAGAAGGGTACAACAGTAGACTACAGTAAAAAATAATGACAAATAAGTTTCTTTGGATGTCTCAGAGAATTATGAATATGAGAGCGCTAATATAAGCCACAAAGAGACCATTCATAGATGATGGATTAAAAAAGATAACTGAAATTCCTAAGATTAAATTGACATATTATGAGCACTCTGAATATATGCCAATTTTATACTTACCAATTCTAATTTTTACATTATAGTAGAGATCTCAATATATTTCACTAAATAAAGGTTCTTTCAAACATCCTCTCAAGTCCTTTTTTCTATGTAAAATAATATAAAAAGAGTTCACTTAAGGCCTGAGTCTTTATAGTGTCAAAAAAGTCAGTAAAAAGTGGCGTTTGTATCTTTTCCTTGTTCATAGAAATCACTCTTGTACTAATAATCACTTTATAGTAGGAGATATCTTTTGCATCTAATATAAGGACGTCACGTGTGCCTGATTTTAGGATTAATAAATTAGATATTTTTTAGTGTGCTAAAGTTAGTTTATTTAATTAGTATATTAGCCCTATTTGATAAATAGCTTTTCTATTTTAGACATTCTAAAACACATATACCATATCTTGATGATCTTTTTAGCTCAAATATGAGAAAATATTTGCCTCACCATTTGGTCAAAGTAAAGGAAGTCCTGACTTTTCTAGAAGATTGTCTATAGTTTTTAGATAAGTTTAAAATCATTATTAAATAGAATATATAAACCAGTGCAAGTATTTTAGTAACTTAAATTGCTATGGGAATTTTGCCTTCTAATTTATAGTATGATTTTTAGCGGCTATCCTGTATTATCTCTTGTGTAAATTAGTATGAATCTTTTCTAAAAAGCATACCAATGTAAGAGATACTATTGGGGGTGAGGTAAATAGTGACAATAAATACCATTTGTTATAGATAATTGTGGATCTCAAAATGTCATTTGTTGTAATTAAAATGGGCATAAAATTGCTATTTGTACCTATAAAAACTAACTATGTATTTTTAATAATTTTAATGATAGTAGAATCTTTTATCACTACATTATATATTTTAGAGCTGTATATTTTTTCAGTATAGACTGAAAACACTAAGTTTGAGTATTTTTTTACTTTATGTAAAATTTTATTAATAACATTTCCAGCTCAGATTAGCTTTCTTGTCTTCATACCGGAAAGCATTTAGATACAAAATCCCTACACAAGACTAGGTATTTCTACTAATTTACACCTGCTTTGGAACTTGCCATCAATGGTATTAATAACAACAGACGCTAAAATTGATTCCCACTAATGTATGAGGCATAACACCAGTTCTCATATTGGGATCAACTTGAATATGAGCGATTAAAACCAAATTTGATGCAGCATGAAGAAACGCTGAACAACGCACAGTTCAAAAATGAACGACTTTCAATTATGAACATTGACACATTATATTCAGGTAAAGGACTTAGAATAAGAAGTGTTTGATCTGAGAGGAAGAATATAATTTCATTTTATAAAAATCATGAGGTGCATGATTTCTTTTTTTATTTAACTGAGGCAAGCCGACCAGGGGACAAGCATTATCAAAAGAAAGAAATGACATGAAACCTGAACAGGGTTAACTCCATCAAAGAAAGTTTTTCCACCTCTGGATTGGGACTCAAATTTTTCTGGTTACATCATGGGTAAGGTTTTCGTGTTATTAGACCTACTAACCGCCAATAGCTTCCTTTGGCTGGCACCCCAATTGATGTGCAAAGGGTGAGAATCAAACTTGCAACCTTCTGGTTGGTAGCCATACGCCCTTACCAACTTGGCTTCCACCCCCTGACGTGCATAATTTCATTTTTATCACTAATCAATCATTTAAACATACCAATAGTTTTTTTAAACTTTGAAAAATGAGTCCAAAACTTGGATCAAGAGCTTTGTTAGGAACCTTTATAAAGATGGCTGGTCTGGTAAGCCTAAATTATCAATTGGTAGATCATGGGTTATCCACTGGTATTAAGATAGGAACTTTAATAATTAAATGGAATTTGAAATGGGTCAAGAGTTAGTGATCTGATCATGGACATATATGAGAATTTCGCTGTAACTTTCAATGATGAAAGGAGTATCAAGTAATTTTGAGAAACTGAGTTAGATGAGCTGGATGGTCCATTAAGCGGCTATAAGGATGAGTGTATTAAGGAAAATGAAGGATTATGAGGAAGTACATTAGATTGTAACCCATAGTGCAACTTTGCGTTGTAAAATTTCTAAGGTAAAATGGTAGCTGTGACAGATATGATCCATGAATACTGCCACAAAATAGTTTAGCAAGAGGGTCCAGGTAAGTGCCCACAATCAGGATAACCTTATTTGATAAGGTCTCTGACATGAGTGTTTGGGAAATTCATTACTATGAAATTATGGATTACAGTAATGAATATACTTGCACTAAGAATGAGGGTCTGACTACCTGAAAGCGCATACAAGACGCGCTGGCATTTTCAATGTCTGAAGTGTGATCCATGAGAAGCTTTCCTTAGATTTTTGATAAATTAATTACTGAATTTTAAAATTATTCTTTTAAATTAGTAGACTTATTAAGATATTATAGAAGATGAAGCTTCTTTGTGCAATTTGTCAATTTAGATTTATACTAGACTTAAAAGAGAAGATTGAGTCTTGTTCTCCACAGAGTCTGCGGACAACTTCTTAATGGCAGGCATAAACCAAGGATCTGGACCTTTGGCTTCCTTGTCATGACCTTTTTCAGAGCTTGGAACAGGTACCTTTGCAGTTGTCAAAACATTTCTACATAATCTATTTAGATGAAAATTGTTCTTGAAGCTTGAAAAAAGACGTTATCCTTATCTCTAAAACTTAAATCAATTAAATAATTCGATGGCGTCTGATTCACCAGTTTTCATTTTTAGAGGCTTGTTCAGCCTCATCTGAAGATGTGACATTTGGCTGACGAGAGCTCTATTTATAAGGATTTCCACACTCACCTCCCTTATTAGTAATATTGTGTTTGGGCGTCTGGTTGGCCAGGGCACCATTTGTGAGCATTTCAATATTCATTTACACATTTAGAAATATTATACTTTTCTGCAACTGGTGTTTCAGAGCGCCATTTATAAGATCTACATGCTCATCGTCATATTTGGTAAAATTGCATATGGCAGCATCTGGTTAGCCAGAGCGCCATCTATAAAGATTTCCTTCATCATTGATCTTAAAAATTTTATTAAAATCAGTTTTAAGGCAGCTAATTCGCCATAATGTCATTTTAAAAGTCTCTTGTGATCATGACCATCACCTCAGCCCTGATCATCACAATGGGGAGAAATTAGGGCAATGTGGAAATCAGGCAACGCCTTAATTGTTACAGTAGTATGACTCTGCCATAGTAATAATGATCGTTTTATTGGAGCTCTTAGCTTCCATTTTATAGTTTATTATACACACATTTTTTGAGGAATGACAATCGCTTTATATTGCTCTTCTTTTCCATAAGTGGTTACTTGCTAATGTGAAAAAACTTCCATCAGATTTCATTTCATCTAAAATTAAACAGTCATGGTGAACTACGGGGGCCTTTGACTCAACAAGAATAAGGAGATACATCTAATCAAACTATGTTAAAACCAGCTATTACAGTTGTGAAACTGTCCCAGTTTACTGAGTTGGTGCAATACACTGAGAAAATAATTGTCCTGGATACATTACACTGAACTAAAAATAAGCACTCCATGAGCATAAAGTCCTGGTGGATCAACCAAAGGAGGTATTTGGCCAACTATGTACCCTTTAGCCCTCAGAACAATCCATTAACAGACCTCCTCAATGACACTGTTGAACAACTGTACTGCGTTGAGTTGAAACTGGATGAGGAAGCTTATTAACGAATTTCCTAACGCAGAGCCAAAGAACAAAAGGTAGAAAATAGTGAAGTACAGTGGCGCTGAAGAAGGGGTGAAGACAAGGAGGTTACAGGAGAGAGCTTTGCTGGCCAAGAGCAAAGTTTGGGTCAGTTTACACATATCAGAAGATTTAGGGATAACTATGCCCTGCAGGAGGAATGTTTCAGGTGTTTTTTGTGGTAGCAACTGAAGGAGCCATAGGGACGCTTGCACGGTAGGTCTCAAACCTCAATCCTACGATTTTGAGATAATTCACTGCCTTGATAAAGCATCAAAAATTAAACTTTATATCGCACCTATAATGATTGTATTTTGACTAATCTGTTTGATTTGATGTACAAAAAGATAATTAGCAAATAATCAGATGAACCACCTCAAGTTATCTAGGAATTAGATGGAATGAGGGCTGGTACTTTATGAAAAAATATTGATCTATAAAAAGAAGATCAGAGCGCTACATTGAGATTCCCAAACCCGCTGCTGACCATATATAAATTTGAGCGCTACAAGGTGGCAGGTCATGAAAGGTTATTCAAAATGGCATTGTTCCTACGACCATGTTATTAACAAGTGAGCATTTACTTTATTTTTATTGAAATGATTTTTGATGTCACCAATGTCAAGTAGAGAAGCCCTTCCTTAAGAAGACCTCCTTATGGAAGGTGTAACCCTTTTTACATGGCACATAATATCCCTTGACATTGTAGGCCCGTTGCTGATGGACGAAAATTGCTCCAAATACATCCTGGTGGAAAAAGATCATTTGATGAAGTGGTGTAGAGGCACAAGTGATAAGAGATTTGGGGGATCACCACTGCTAAATTTATAAAGGAGTGCATTATCCAAGGCATGGCTGCCCACAGTTAACACTTACTGACAACAGAACCAACTTCACCTCACATGTCGTCCCTAAGCCAAACAAATTGATGGACATCCGTAGGGTTAAAATGACCCCATACTTTACCAAGTTCAATGGAACTATTTGGGCTGGTTAATGAACCCCTAGTGAATATATACTCAGGAAACTTGTGATAGATAGACCGTCAGTATGGAACACCTTCCTTTCCACTTCAGTCTTCACGTACAGCTTTAGCTATTACTCAGCAACTGTAAGAAGTCCCTTTCAGTTGCTTTATGAGGTCGCCCAACCCTACCTGAACAAATCTACTCCAACTTAGAGGATAAAATAAGAATAGATCCACAATACTATTTGAAGACTTTGGGATACACGCTGATACAACTTAAGGCTGAGGTGAACTCAAAAAGATTAACTAAAAAGTCAAAGATCATATTTCTGATCAACGATGGTGTAGTAGACTTCTGCAGTTTGTGATAGGAGGGTGTGAATTGTTACATCATGAGCACAGTTTTAAATGGCGGATAAAGCTAGTAAGTATATGGATCAGACCCTTTGAGTTTTAGAAAAACAGGCGCTGATGCCTACACACATTTATGGACCCCAGCGAGTGGCAGATTATCAATTATGTGCATGATTAGTTACTTTGAGCTTATTTAATAGAGGAAACAATAAGAAGGAAAAAAATAAACAAAACTAAACTAAACAAAGCAAAACAAAACAAAACAAAAAACATACAATAATTTATATAAGTAGTATAATAGTAGCGCGCTTTTTATAAAATAGAGCAAATAACAAGACCTGCCACTTGAGAGCTAGGTAGGGTAAGATGGGGACTTCATGTGGTGTGACCAAGGAAAGCTTGTGGAAACATGGGTGAGTAGCCAACACCAGAACCCAGAGGGGCACCTTAGAAGGGTCCTTTAATGGCCTGGATGAGGTGTGGGATGGAAGCTAATGACTTTAACCCAACCTGTTCTTGCAGATGCTTACACTCTCCTTTAGGGGAAATTTAGGCTGAAAGAAGGAGGCAAGAAACAGGAATATCATCAGTCACACTACTTCCCTGCAAGGTGGGGCACTGAAAAAGCAGGTCTTAGTGACAAGTGTGGTGCAATCCTGATTGTCTGGACTTTGGCTCACCTGTCTACAAAAATCACTGAATCTTCTAAGTTGTCCTGAAATCTGGATAGTGGCCAGTAGCTTATATGGGCTCAAAATGGTGCAGCGAAAGGCAAGAGCTCTCACATACCAAATTGATGGACTGGCCCAAAAGGGCTGTGATGTTCCCACACAAAAGAGGCATGGAGAGCAAACTTTGTCACAAAAACAAACTGGAGACCAATTCCGTTAACAAATCAACAATGTGGGTGGCCCCTGCTGCAAAGAAGGCTCCAAGACCTTTGCTGCGGTGGCTACTAATGGATTTGGGGTAAGAACCAATCTTTTTAAAAAGGGGAACTCTTCCCATCAAAGGATCTGATAACGAGCATGGTGGAGAGCCTCAAGAGGGTTCACACCGTGGAAGTGAAGCCTGGGTGCTCTAAGGATATGCTCATGGTCCGCGTGATTGAGGTGTGTGGGATCATCAACTCCATATTTCACGTTTAGTCCCTAAGTTGAACTTATGACTTTCCAGCCTAAGCTTGAAAAGGAACTGGTTATGGCTGCCAGTTTGAGCATAGAGTGAGGAAGCCGTATGTCTTGACATCAGCATCAAGATTGGAAGGTTCATTCTGAGGGACATACCATCCTTGATCACTAGAGGGGCCATGACGTCTCAGCTTAAAGGATTTGGCAGAATGATCTCTTTTAATGAGAACAATCTTGTAAAGAACTTGATGTAGAAAGACGGTAGCTTGAAAAGTTCACCATGGGATCTGGGGACTGGTTTTTGAAATTTGAGCTTTCAAAATCAAATGGGGTTTGCCTCGTTAAGTCATTTTGGGGACTTGGAATGACCCTGTGTAACCTCTTGACAGGTGCTTCTTGTGTGGTATGAAGGGCCACGTCACAGCCAAATGTCCTCAGGTTTAACCTCCTGCAGTAGTGAACAA